AATTCCAGGATTACTTGATTCTCCCTGCTTCAAAATTCTGACAGTATGCTCATATTATCAAAATTCTTGTAATCTGGTTATATCATTAGTCAGATTCTAGATGTCCTAGATCAAAGTTAAACCCTAAATTTTATCACTTTGTCTTAAACAAATTGTCACCACCTAGTGGCCGAAAAAGGAATCCCATCCTGGTACAAAGGTGACGAAGTCAAAGGATCTGGGTTCTAGTCCCAACTAGATTTTATGTTAGCTAGAATCTCTTTGGATTTTAGGTTTTTTTGTTGTTGTTGTTTTGTTTTGTTTTTAAATATCAGAAATTAGAATAATAATTTCCTGTTTTACCTGTCACAAGGCTCAAAAGAGATACTGTGCATGAAAACCTTATAATTTAAACACTATCTGAAAATAAAACAATATGATGTATAATAATGGCAATTTAAAAACTGTCAAGTGTAATATAAATGTGAACTATTTTAGTACTATTACTACTATGTGTACTTTTAAAGCACAGCAGTACACATGGGAAAAATTATATACCTTTCTTCATTTTGATTTCCCACATTATACAGAAACATACAAGAAGGAAATGAGTTTCAACACTGATATTAACAGAGAGGCAGAATGTAGTACTATGAATTTGCTTACATTCTGCACAATGGACACTCCCCACATTAATAAAACAAGAAGACAGAATAATATAACATTATTAATAATTTTCTCAGGCTACAAGATTTGAACCAACTGATTTATTATAGTAACTATATTATCAACAATCAGAAACTGATTTAAAGTCACTATTTTACTGCTCGTTTCCCCTAACTTTTATCACACCCTCTGTAGAATCATGAGTGGTACAAATACATAAAATTAAATAAATAAGCTTTCTTATGCCTGATAGTCTTAATGTACAGAGTGAGGATTCACAAACGTCTCTAAGAACACACTGGTGTTCCTTGACCATCTCCTCTATCTGACCCCAGCACTAGGACAGTTAGTGAACTTTTTGTCTAGCTCTTCCTATTTAACCAAAGTTAATTTATTTTTTCCATTAAGAAAGCAATATATTTCCACTGATGACTAGAAAATCAAGATTTGTTTTCATAGGTAATGCCTGCAGTGGACTATCATGTCCTTCAGTAAAAACCTTACTCATCTTTGTGTTCCCTAAATCTGTAAACAGTGGCTGTGTTAATCACTGTCATTCTCTTGGACCTACTGCATTTGCCTTGTAGCTGTTCTCCAGGTCTTCAGACTGGCCTGCCCGCCACCATACCACCATGTTGCCAGCATAAGCTTTCTGAAATGCACATTCCATCCCGTCATTCTCTGCATCTAATTCAAAAATCCTTGGGGACTGGAGTGCATACTAAACTAGTATATTCTGAGAGATTCTAACTGTGCCCTTCTTTTCTTCCATGAATGTGCTTCCCTCTTTGTTTACCAGTCGTATTCTTACGCATTCTTTAAAACTCAGCTGGAGAGTCCTCTCTTCTAAGAAACAGTCCCTAACTCTCCCAAAGATCACCTGTTTTTCCTGACTGCTCACAATGCAGCTTGTAACACACTTTCACAATACATCGTATTAGAGCACCTTACTTCTGCATCTCCCTCATTAGGCTGTAAAATTTTTGAAGTTTTCTTGGTATTCCAAGACTTAACATTTTTATTAACAATTTGGAGATCAAATTTAGTATGAGAAGTACCATCTTTGACCTGATCGAGCTAGGTACACTATCCAAAAGCAGTTTGGCAAATATAAATTATTAAAACAATTGTTTTTAAAACTAGGGTTAAAAAAAAAAAAACACTCATCAAAATAAAACCACAGACAACGGATAGGCTCCCACCTACCCGAATACAGAAAATAGTGTTGCTTTACAAAGCTACACCGGTTGCAGATATAATCTTAGAGATAAGGGTTCCATGAGCATATACTGTATGATATTAAATCAGAAATTTTATCCCATATTAAACAAAATCAATAAAGATAACAATTTTTGTACCTATTATCTCCATATTTTTCCTTTCTGATCCTAAAATTCTCTGGTTTTTCCTTTTACAATTTTTTGAAAATAACCCAACCTTACTGTGGTGCATATGTGTGTCTGTAATAAAAATTGTTCAAGATCTTAAGCGCATTTTTCTTCAACTACCCATTGAATCCCTCCTTCATTAACATGTTATGAATGCACTTAAATCTTACTTCACTTAAAATGTACCATAATAGACACACAAAAGTATAAAAACCAGTAGAAAAATATTAAGCAGTAACTTCTGTTTAAGTAATCTATGAAAAAGAAAGGGAAACACAGCATGTCCACCACTGAGCAAAATGAAGACAGCTGGTGGGGAAGGAGCAGTGAGCTACCTGAGTCTCCCGGGGGCGGGCCTAACCCAGTAGGGCCTTTCTGCTGTTTGGAGTGACCCTGGCATAAGGGCTATAAAGATTATTTAATAACAGCAAGAAACCGGTCTCAACATTACGTGCCAGACACGTTTCTAAGATGGTAGGAGTTGACTAGTTCAATCATCGCAACTCTGTAAGAGAGCTACTATTATTGTCATCCAAGCACAGAGGCTAAGGGGATTCTGTACCTATAAAGTCATGAGTCTAGGGTTGCAAACCTGCAGGCCGAGCCCAGAGCCCAAGCTCTTGCTTGTGGTATATACCACCATCAGCTGCAATTATGATTCACACAACGCAGGGGATGCACGTACACACACTCGAACACAGCAGTGACACTGCTTCTTGTGCCACATTTTCAAATAAATGGGTGGTTCGGTTAGGTCCATAAGACAAGCAAATAACAACCACAGCAAAAAGATCTCCACAGGATTAGAATGGTATTTCCTTTCTGCATTAAGAGTTAACCCACGTAAAGAATCCTAGACACAAAAAAGGAGTTATAACGAATATAAATATATTTTTTAAATATATATATAGTTATGATAATATACCATGGTTTTATATAGGTAACTATCTGTAATATATAGTTATATTAATAACGAATATAAACATAACTAATGTTTTATCATAGTGTAAGAGGTCAAGGATCATGTGAATTTGGGGGACATGTTTAATGCTACGGAACCGTTCCTGAAGATTTATGTTCTTTGACTAGTGAAATGACTAACAATACAGGTAACAAGAACAAACCGCCTTGCATCTGCACCTTTGTGGTCTCTTTCACATCTCAAAGTAGGAAAGAAGCTTTTTTATAGAAGTTAATCAGCTCAACTCACAAATTCTAAAAAAATACCTTTTTTTCTTTCCCAGCTTTTTATATTCATAAAACAATGTGTAAATATTTTAATATGGCTTTACCATAAATTTCAAGTTTTATCATTTTATAATATAATCATCTACAAAGCTTTCAAAAAGAAATATTGTTATAAAGTCAATGGAATTCTGAGAAAATACTGACTATATTACTGATCGCTTTATAAACAAGACTATTTCTTAATAAAGTTCTCTTGGTACTTCAGAAAATTAACTAATACTTCCATGACATGGTAAAAAGAAAGCAAAATAAATTCCAGATGAATCAAAGAATTACATGTAAAAAAAAAAAAATTATAGAAAACCAGCAGAAAATTTGAGTATTTACCCAAGTTCTAGAGATTTTCTTAAACTGAGACCTTATTTGGAAAAGAAAAATCATAAGAGGAAAGAGTAACAGACAACTAAGAGAAGCTTTCCTGTGTAAAAATGTAACAAACAAAATTAGAAGGAAAATAACAAAGTAATTACAAATTAATTGCCTTATTTTTAGCAAATTTTTTCAAGACAATATTATCAATGAGGATATAATAAGATGGACATTCTAATAGGGGTGGTAGAAGTATCAATACATACAATTTTTTCATGAAAGGAATTTGACAACATGTATTAGAAGTCTTATACTGCCTCTCAACTCAATGACTAGTTTAGTACTTCAGTAAATACAAAGGAAGTTTATTAATTTACCCAAATCTTGTCTATACAGGATCCCAATGTGCATTTTAATGTTATTTAGAATATGACAGAGATAGCTAATTTGCTTTATATTTTCATCACTAAATACAACTCGCTATAAATTGGATAGTTATATTTGAAAATAAACTTCTTCACGAAAATATGTCCTGTACCATCTACACCCTATCCAACTAATCTCGTTTTCCTATGTATTACAGAAATAGATATTTTAATAGCTTATGTATTTAATATTTTAATATTTTATTTTATATTTGTATTTAATTAATATTATACAATATTTGTATTTTAATATTTCTTTTACAGAAAAAGCAAAGGGCATTAAGTAGAATAAACAGTTTATGTAAAGGTACTTTATATCTCCTTGGAAACAGAAATTGCTTAAGGTATTTTTTTTTGTTTGTTTTTTAAGATTTTATTTTATTTTTTTAATTTATTTGACAGACAGAGATCACAAGTAGGCAGAGAGGCAGGCAGAGAGAGAGGAAGGAAAGCAGGCTCCCTGCTGAGCAGAGAGCCCGATGCAGGGCTCGATCCCAGGACCCTGGGATCACGACCTGAGCCGAAGCCAGAGGCTTTAACCCACTGAGCCACCTGGGTGCCCCTGAAGGTATGTTTAACAGGAAGTTTACAAACACCCTACTCCTCTGATACTAACCACGAAGAGTTTACTTTTCATGAATTTGATATTTTGATGGCATATGCTACCTTAATCATGGCAATAGTTTAAACATATTTATAAAACTTAAGCTAACTAAAATAAAATATTTTAAAAACTAAAATGAATAATCTCTTAATTGAAAACTAAGCATGGAATTCTCAAATTATGTTATTATCAGAAAGAAAATAAAGTTTCATGAGCTGTCATTTAATATTTTTGAAACCCTTAACATGTAAACTCTATTTGAAACTATAAACAGGTCAAATGATATACAAGTGTTGCTAAATAATATTCCAAGTAAAGTTTAATGTATAAGAATAGAGCAAATTGAAAGAAATTTAAATTACCAACATTTAATGGTCTTACCTACTAATATTCTACTCTTCTTGATGCCACTTTTTACTTCATCCTCAATCAAATCTGTAAGCACTTGACACATTACGTTGATTGACTCAAGGTGTTCTGGGCAGTCATTAGATATTTTAAATCTGTCAAACCATACATTGGAGATTCCTCCTTTCATAGGAGTATATGGCCTGTTTAAAACCAAAACAAACAAAAAAAACAAAAGAGGAGAAGAAAACAAAGGGAAAGGGGATGTTATTAAAACGAATGTTTCAATTTCTAAAACACCAATGCGTTGAATAATTTCAATCTCCTCCAAGTTTTATCAGTTAAAGCGTTCATACTGAAAGCAGCCTCGTGCATATTGGACTAACTTGCCTATACTTACACTGATCCCATTAACATTTCCTAATGCCAACTCAAAATCCTTCCCTATTTGCCCCATCTTTTCAGATTCATAAATTCTCCAGAGAATTTCCATGAAAAAAGGAATTATACATAAAACATATAATTATATAATTAATATATATAGAGGGTGCATGTGTTTTGTTGTTGTTGTTTTTTTTTTCCTCTCCTGCTCGATTTGAATGATTGACTGATCAGGTCTACCTTTTTTTTTTTTTTCAATTTGTTTTGATTTACTTTAGTCCTTCACCCTCTTTAATGTAAGATCAATATTTTAGTATTCGTAACTAACTGAATAATGTTTAATATCTCAAGAGTGGGAAAAAATGATTCACCACAATGTTTTTAAAAGGTGGTTAATTTGTAGCACTTAAGTATGGAAAGATGAGTTAATAATTTCAGAGCTTTCTTAATCACATCCAGGTCATCCTTAGAATGAGGGCTCAATTTTTTTTCTTAAGAACTTTTTTTTTTTTTTTTGTCTTCTTAGGAACCTTCAAATGAGAATTTAATAGGGTACAGATAATCTTTGGAAGCACTCATCAAACAGCTCTTCCATACTGTTTGCATCACTGAGGTCTCAAACTGGGTGCCTCACTGGACTTAGGTTTTATGTGATCAGATGCTCTGAACTGGGTGCTCTGTTGAACAAGACCGATCTTACAAGATGCTTTATGTCTACATATGAGGTGAGATGGCTATACTATTAGTGACTCTTAACCCATTCATTGTCTGTTCCTACTCTGGAAAGCTCTGATAAAGTGAGTGAGTGTGTGTCTGTGGCAAGGTATTCCAAATGTTCTGTTTTAATCAATTACAATGGGGTTAAGGGTTCCTGTGTTCATATCCTATGTCAGTAAAGGTCAATGAAGGGGAACGAAAACAATCTTAGACATTCCTGTAAGCAAACATAGAGGTGTAGCAGGATACAGAAGATAAACATGGAGAACGAAGGTTTTCCAAAGATGAGGGATAGGAGGGTTCAATCAAAGAAACTGTTTCCCACATGGCAAAGTGTGTTTTCCCCTTACGTGGACAGTGAAAACAGGATTTATGTCCTATGCAAAAAAGACCGAGAAAACACAACCAGTGCTAAAAGCACCCATTGTAATTTCGAAGGAATCTAAACCAATGATGACCACAGATACAGAATTCCTCCTGTATTTACTACTCTGACCAAATCAGAGTTGGATGTATTCTCTCACCATCCAAAGTCAGCGAAATAGGAGTATGAAATGTACAGGTAGAAGGGAAAAAAAAACGGGGGGCTGAAAGACATCAAGTGAGATCTCACAGTGCCTCCCTATACATGCTCTAGTGAGAAACATGCTTCCTGGGGAAAGACTAAGTGGAACTTCAGCAAACCCAAAGAGCTAGAAGTAGTCAATTCTTATTCTCTCAACCACTGTTATCAAAAGGGACTCCACAGTCTGTGCAGATCTGCCCTTGAGCAGCAGCCACTCTAGGGGACCAAATGGCTGGTACAGGAGAGAGCGGAACTAATTTTTCTGTATTGGTCATACCACTCCAAAATAAATGGACTTTTTGTGCCTGGAAATCAAGAGGATTATATTTGGACAGTTTCTCGGAGAAACTGAAAGCAGCGCTCATCTATAGAGGATCTTGTTTATTTACTAAAATAGAAGAATGTTATCAATATTACTTTGTAGCATCTTTCTAAAAAACAAATTTTCTTCTGGCTTATGAAGATATATGATATTTTGCAAAGACGGGAAATTATATGTGTGTGCTGTTGTGATGTTTTTCGGATAAATTTGATTCTGCGCACCACTCCTCCTCTCCATTGCTCCTCTCTTCTCCCACTCCTCCCACATCCTGCCTTTCATGCTAGGTAAACCATGTTTAGGATCTGGAATATATCCTTAAATTTTTTTTTTTTGCATATACATTAAAACATGCATCTTTATAGGACATTTTTTTAGAGCACTATTTCCTTTTCAAAAATGAGATAGCCTATTTGCTTCCCCTTTGTGCATCATGCTTTTCCCCTTAACTGTAACTTATGGGTGTCCTTCCTGATAGTTTGAACCCATCCTTTTAAATGGCTACATAATACCATATGATAAATATGTCCCACAGTTTCATCAGCCATTCCCCTAATAATGGGCATTTATTTGGTACACGGGTTTGAGCCACTAAGAACAGTTCTGTGTTAAACGTATTTGCATACATGTTTTTATGTACTGGGGCTTTTAGTCCTGTGGAACAGTCCAAGAAACAGGACTACTGGATTGAAAGATACTAATTTTTATCTTATCAGACGTTTTAAAGTTGCTACCATTAAGACTATAAAAATCCAATTTTGTGCAAGAAAAGAGAACATCCTTTTGTCCACAGCCCTTAGAGCAATAGGTGCTAATATCCTTTAAAATACTAGCATTTAAGGGTATCAACTATAGTTTTAAGTCAACTTTCTGGAAGTATAATTTACATACATAAAAGTAAACACCTAACTACATCGGTCCAAGATCTGCCGATATAATCATCTCCACAATGATACAGAACATTCCCTTTACTTCAGAAAATTCTATCCTGCCCCTTTGCCAGCAATTCCCATGAACTGCCCCAGGCAACCATGGAGTGATTCTTATCACTCCGTATTAGCGTTTCCTGTTCTAGAATTCTACATAAATGGAATTACCTATTTGTATCATTTATTTTTTTCTATTGTGGTTTTGCTTTTCCTATTAGTTTAGGAGAGCACTTGGTCTATAACTGACACTTAAATACTTGTCATTTCTATTTCAAGTATTTTTTAACATCATTTTTACATACAACATTACGTATTTACGGTGTCTTTTGGAAAAAAAATCAGATAAAAGACATTGCATTTGATAGAATCTGTCCTTTAAAAGCAACTGAAATTTCTAGGTCTCCTGATTTAAGAGGCTCTTCCTAATCCATTCATTTTTACACATGGAGCTCAAAAATTTCTAAGATTTTTGTTTTCATTTTTAGATTAAAGTTGTGAAATTTCCTGGAATTTATTTCACACATGAAGTGCCATAGGATTCAAGTTTTTTCTCCCATATGGATACTCAATTGTGTCCATACTATTACTACTAAAAGGAAAAAAAAAGTCTTCCACATAGGTGAAATTCCATCTTTGCCATATATTTAATTTCATAGTTCTGAATTATCTAGTTTCTCTCAATCTAGATTTTGTGAAAAAAATGAAGCCCTGATGCCTAACACATACACTATTTACAATAAATGGACTTCTTTCCAGTGCCTCTAGAATGGTACTCGTTCTATGTTATCCTTGGGGAAATCAAGAAAACAGTAACTGAAATCACATCCTGAGCTGTGCTTCAGGTGAAGAACTCTGGTTGAGAAAGGTTCTATTTTGTTCTACTGAAGTATTTCTCTATCCTTGTGTTAGGATCATACGGACTGTATCGAAGTAGCTTCAGAGTGTACTGTCAAGTTGAGTAATGTTAGTTTATCTCTCCCGACCGTCATCAAGACCAGTGTCTTTTTTTCAGACTCATCCTGCCTATCCTTACGCATCCACTCATTTTTATCTAAGAAATTAATCGCGTATTTAAAAATAATTTCAAAAAATTCTCCTTATAAGTCCTTGTGGAGTTTTAATTAATATTAACTAATTTAATAAATAATTAAGAAATTAAATAAATAATAATTTAACTAATAAATAATTAACTAATAAGTAATTGTCTGGGAATTAACATTTTATGACAAAAAACTGGGAGGAGGGGAGATTTTTGCAGACAGCTCTTCCTAGGACCTGCCTAGGGGCTCTTGTGGGGCTTCTCTTGCATTATTTTCCAGGCTTTCAAGGAGTGCAGAGATGATAAAATTCTGCATCAGATTTCTACCAGGACTCCACAGAACCCACTTTCTCCCTCATTCCTGCAGGCCTTCTGACCTCCGAAGCTGCTTGGCTCAAGAGAGGTAAATAAATTGGAATCAGAAGGGGAGAGAACACAGAAAGCATTCAAGCCTCCCATCTCCCAGAATCCCTTTCTCAGGATTAACTTTCTTAAAGCACTCTGAAAATGAAAGCAGGTGCTTTCCACTAGTATTAATGTCAGTGTCAGACAAAACGAAATACGAAAGTACATTCAATTTGTCACTGGAATCACAATGTTCTGAATCAAAACTGAATATGTAACACTCACTTTAAAGCCTGAATTAGACTGTTACTCTTTTTAATTATTTCTACTTTCCTCTTGATTTTATTCTGCTATTTCTCTAAGTATTTATTTGTCTGTCTAACCACTTAAGTAAGGATGATATCATAGGCTAAAATCTGAATCATTCTGGGAACTCAGCCATTAATAGAAAAAAACGACACTTAACTTTTTTGTCTTTGACAGTGCCTTACTTAATCAGACACTGATGCTCCACGGAGGTGCACTCCCGATGTAAATTTCATGAATATAGGAGTTTTTTGTTCTCTCAATTCTCTAAGAGAATTACATTTTGTTCAAAAGAGATAGTTGGGAAAATTTAGTAAGACAAAGAACATTAGAACTTTTGTGTTAAGAAAATATAATCAAGAATGCAGAATTCTCTTAATATGTTAGAATAACCTTTAAAGGAGGCATAAAAATAAGGCTGTTTTTTAAAACAGCTAAACAAACTGGCACATATGTTATACTCATTCACCTTTTCCCTCAAATAAATCACTTTATTAGCTAGTATAAAACAGCTCAGACATTACCACAATAAATAAATATGCTTAGCAAAGAACATCTGTGTGGCTCCTTAGTCAATCAATCAATCAATCAAACACACTGGT